GGTTTTATGGACTTTGCTCTTCTATGCCCGCTGGGATGAGCTAGGGAGACCTGTGGTAATAGATAACAACCATATTTCAATCATTTCAATCATGTCAGGTTTAAAGCTGAAAAGTTTATTTTTCATTCATGCTACATGTCTACTACACTTTGGCAGGGGTTTCTGTAACCACTGTCCTCTCTTGGGACTTGTACCATCTGGACTGTAATTGGTTTAGGTGACAAGCATCATTACTCTTATTTCATTAACCCCAGGGCCATGCCTACATTCAAGCAGGTGGGGAAGTGCCATTCCCCTGTTGTTCAGAAATAGAGAGGAACCATTTAATGAGCAGTTTTTCAATCAAGATTATCAGTACAAGGTTCCCAAAAAAATACACAAAATCAGTGCTCAGATTACAAGAAAGATGGAGCAGGAGGAAATGTCTGTATTTTCTGCCACCATCAGTGCTGAGAATGATAATAAACATGATAATAGTAGCTAACATTCATTGAGAATGCTGGGCACTGTGCTGTGTATGCATTTCTTCTTAAATCCCCAAATCTCACAAGAAAAGTATTCTTTGTCTATTTTACAGAAAACTGAAGAACAGAGAAGTAAAAATACCATTCTGGGCCTTAGAGCTAGTAACTGTTGGAGCTAGGACAAGAACCTCTACAATCTAATGAATACCCCCTGTTAGAAACGCTCTCCTATATCGCTTTCCCTATTGTACTTCTAAATTGTACAAGATTTGGAATTTAGAGCACTTTATCTCTGGGTACTGCAGGCTTTGCAACTATATTCATCAGCAGATCTTGAGTGCTAAATAGAATTTGACCCTGGTGGTTTAGCTATAACTGGAAAAGACAACTTCCACAAAATTTTCTCATAAAGTCTGTTGCCAAGATTGTTGAGAACAGCATGTGCTTTTCCAAATTACAGTGATAAGAAAGTCAATGTTGCTGAGAGCCACAAGTAAGTCCTAAGGAAGCAGCATGTCTCCAGGACAGGGATATTTCTCTGCTGGCTTCCACAAAAGCCTGTGCGTTGGTTTCTTGGGGAGGAGCTGGCTGATACTACTGGGAAACCATATTGAAGAGATTCATGCTGTTGGAAGGGCCATCAACAGGAAATGGTCAATAGATTGCCCTAATTCCGCTAACTGAACTTGCAGAGGGGGGCTTCTGGAATATTTTGATATCGCCATGCTATCTGTTCCCTCAAAGACTAAAAGACCCCTTCCATTCTAAAGGGAGAGTAATGAAGTAATGAAAGAAAAAAAGAATCTTTGACTAAATAAGTCGCATTCAGATTACTCACCCATACCTGGGAATTTACACCAATCATACCCCACCTCAAACTGTAATTATTACAATGTCTGGTGTCTACTGAGCTGTAAATCTCATCAATAGGTGCTTATTGTCATGGGCTGGTAGGTGCTGATGATAATGGCCACCAGCCATTGCACACATACACAGTCCATACCTTCCTTTCTTGCCCCAGGTTCCCTCAAGTCCACTCTCTCTCAATAATTTGCACCTCCATTTGGATCCTTTCTCTCACCTCTGGTGTACAAGGGATTCCATGAGGAGTTTTCAGAGCTATTAGCTCAGGCTCTTCACCATGCCATAGCTGGTCTGCTATTCCAGCCCCATTATAACTATGGGGCTTCTAAAAGGTCTCCAGTCTCCCTTGGCTCCACCTAGGAACCCTGGGATATCATGCACCAGTTTGGATCAACCAATTTGGGAGAGAATTCAGGGCAGGATCTGGGTCTCTCTCTTTAATTTTTACATAATTATACATTGTAATGATTTGGGCATAATCTCTGTCTTATTATCTTCAGGACTTTGAATTCTCATGTCCAAAGGCAAGCTTTTGAACTTTAAAGCACCTTATCTGTTTCAAGCACTTGGCTTTCAGGAATTTAAAAATTCTTAAAAATTTGCTTCTGCTATGAGTTTCAACACCCACTTATCAATTCCCTTTCTAAGCTATACCTTCCCTCCCTCTGTGGGTAGTGTATAAAAAAACTATCTTGTGAGGAAAAGGTAATTGGTTCCAAGCTGCCCAATGGAGGCAGGAAAGTGGGGTCAGGAGCTTTGACTAATGCACCTCAAAATATTATTTGTTGGATATGCTTTCTGGAATTCTGGGTGTTCCCTCCTTTTCTAAGGTTACTCTGATAACTGTAATAGCTACATTTATGTAGCATTTACTATGCACCAACACCTTAAAATAAAAGATTATTTTATCTTTTAAGCTTCACAAGACACTATGATTTGGACCTTTTATCTTACTTCTCAGATAAGGAAAGGGAGTCTTGGATACACTTACTAATTTGGCTAAGTCCACACAGGTAGTAAGTACATGGTAGAGCCAGGCACTATGTTAGTTCCTGAGTATACAAAAATGAATAGTACAAAAAATGAATAATATATCAAGATGAATGCACCAAGTGGTACAGACACCATACACTTAAATGGATCCTGATAGCCCGAGTGACTAGGATTGGGTTTATATGATTTGTATAAATACCTAAAAATTAGTAACTTCCTAAAGATACTAACACCTGAGTTGCTTCAAGAAGAATAAGCGGTAAAGTTAAACAAGTGAAAGGAATGGGATAGGAAAAACAATAAACAGTATTTCAGGTCCAAGAAACAGAATCAACAAAAAGCACAGAGGCAAGCTGAAATAATGGTTTGAATGGCTATGAATGGTTTGCTCCCTGTTTGGGTCTACTTCTCCATCTATTGTCGTGTAACAAACCACCTGAAAACTTAATGTCCTATAACAATTGTTATTTTGTTTATGAATCAGCAATCTGGACAGAGTTTTTTGGGAACACCCCATCTCTGCTTGACCCAGCAACATCTGAGAGAGCTCAAAGCCTGGGGCTAGAATCAACCAAAGTCTCACTCATATGTGAGTTGATAATGGTAGAGGCTGAGACCTTAGCTGGCTCTGTGGGATGATAAACCTACCCCTAGCCTGTCCTGTGGCTTGAGCTTCCTCACAACATGGGGCTTCCTCTTAGAGTAGCATCCTGAAAAAGAGGAAAGCAGGTGAAAGCCATATCATATTTTTTGACCTAGTCATGTAAGTCATGCAGTGTCATTTCGATCACATTCTCTTTGTCAAGACAACTACAAAATGCCACCCAGTTTCAAAGAGAGGAGAAAATACCTCAGCCCTTAAGGGAGTATGGCAAGATTTTAGAAGAGCATGAGGAACTGAAAATATGGCTGTGATTATTTTTTTAAATATCCAATCTGATACAATGTAAATAAAAACAATATAAAATTCTGTTGGAGGGATAAGAGTGGAAAGAAGGGGAAGGGACTAGCCAAGGAACATGTATGAATGACCCATGGACACGGACAACAGTGTGGGGAATGACTGTGGGAACAGCGGATGGGCTGGGCAGAGGAGGGTAAATGGGGTAAAACTGGGACAACCCTAACAGAATGACAATGAACTGTTTAATAAAATGTTGTTAGCCATCTCCCATAACAATGCTGCTCTTCCTCACCTAATCACATGATTAGCTGCATGATATTACTGATTGACTCGTTGTTTACTAGGAGGGAGTTACCAGCCAAAGCCAAAAAAAATAATTTGTCATTCACAAGGTATGAACATGACTTACCCACTCAGTAGGCTGGGCACAGGAAAATCCTGTAATCACTGCCAAAAATATTTGTGTTATCTTGGCCACATGGCAAGCAACACATTCATAAACTGTCTGCAACAAAGACTTAGCTAAAAATTGTGTCCAAAGGCTTTTATTTGATTTTTGCAATTAAAAGACCGTTTCAAGCTATTCATCCCAGGCTGCCATAGATGCCTCTATTTCTCGAGGCAGTAATCTCTAAGTCTTGACCAAGAATCTCTAATAATTTTGCAGTCATTTCAGGAAAGGTCTTCTTGTTTGTGGAAATATCCTCTGAATGGCTTGAACACTTTTAGCTTCATCTCACTTACTGGGTCCAACAATCATAGCCCCATGCCATTTAATTGTTAACAGTCAGATTTGAAAATGTTAGTGTTTCTATGTCCTACAGGGCCCAGGCTGCAATTGGCTCAGTATTGCAATGCCATGTTAATGAAATGTAAAGTTGCTTTTTCTCAGACAACTTGGAATGAAGCTAAAAGGACTGGAATCCTCTTATCTAGAGGAATTTAACTCTGAACTTTCAGTTTCTTCACCACCTCACCACCACTTCCCATGGGATCAGCAGAAACACAGAGTAGAGAAGCAATGACTTTTACTGTCTCTCACAGCAACGAGGTTAGAAATGATGGTGAGCAAAGGCAGGCAGTTACCAAGAAATTTACATTCTAGTAGGAAGGACAGAATGTACCTAGACACACAGATACGGGTTATAACCGAGAAGGGATAAATGCGATGACGGCCAAGCCCCTGACTCATGAAAGCAAATCATAAGGACACTGACATACCTGGGGAAGGCTTCCCTGAGGAAGGGGCGGTGGAGCTAAAACTGAAGAAAGAGTTAACCTGGAGTCAGAGATGAGAAGGGGGACAGGATGGAGGGGAGGTCCAGACAAAGAGAGCAGAACGATCAGGCGACCACGCAGGCCAGAGCATGGCAAACTCAAGGAAGTAGAAGGACAGACAGCAGAGCACAGAGGAACCCTGGAAGGGTGGGACTATGTCAGTCCGGAGCGCCCTTGTCCTGAGAACAATGAGAAGCCACGAACAAATTTTAAGCCTCTAGATTTTCTTAAGTTCATTCCATGCAGAAGCATGGAATATTCGACTACAGAAAACCTTATGAGAGTAGCGCGGGAGTTTTTGTGTTGCCTCTACACTTGTCTGCCATAGCTGCTTGGTCCTGGGCACTACAGCCGTCTTCCCCTTCGTTTAGCAAGAACTTGGCCCTTGCTGACGCGGGGATGGGGGGTGCCAGATGCCCACGAGGTGAGAAGCCCGCCGAGTTTAAGTCAGCCCTCCGCCTCCGCGGATTCCCAGTCATGGATGGAAAGCATTGTGCATGTTCTCCCTACCGGTTGTTTCCATCCTCCACGTGACTGTGTACAGATCACGTCTTCCAGGGCTGCCAGCGCCCCAGCCATCTGGCGGGAAAGCAGCCGCAGCCAGAAATGCCCTCGCCGCCGGAAACGCCCACGAGCTTCAGGAGGACCCGGATCTTGAGGTGGAACATCTGTGTGAGAACAGCCTGGAACTCGCGCAGGTCCCGCAGGCCCCTGGGGCGGGCCTCTGGAGTGGTCGAGGCATCGTCTTGGTTGGCTTTTCCATCCTCCTGCTCCTTGGCAGCTCCTTTGCACCCTATCTGCCTGACAACGGGATGCCGGCGTGGGCCCACCCGGAAGCTGAGAGGCTTGTGAAAAGCCCAGAGGCCGAGGGCCTCCCGGAAACCAACAAGATGCAGCCGAACTGACGGGTTTCAGAGTGCCCCTCAAGAAGTGCCACCTTCTCCAGCCCCTGCCAGCCGTTCTGCCCTCACCTCAGAGCATCTAAAAAGGGCCTGAGAGTATAAACTTTTCTGAATACTCTCAGAACTTTATTAGGATGAGTTTGAGCAAAACAAAACACCTGACACAGTCGCCCACCTGCATCATGACAACTGGAATAGAGGAGCCTTTGCTTGGAGATGGGCTCTCAGTGAAGAGAAAGCATTTTGTTTTTAAGGGGAGTTGACTGGCCGAACCTCTGTGAGCACAAATTCAGGTTATTATCAAATTGGTCAGCCAGAGGAGGGCAAGTCTCTGGGAACAAGACCAGAGCAGAAGCTGAAGCCCCTGCTCTACATGAAGACAAGTAGGTGGCATTTTATGTTGGGGGAGGGGCAGATATCACTATTTCCAAGTCAACATTTGCTGGGAGGGGAGCAGGGCACATGACAAATAGACCAGTTTCTCAAAAACAGAGGGATAAAGCAATTACACAGGGAAGAAAACTCAAATAATGGTTTACAAGGGAGCAAAATAAATTGTGATTCGTCAATGGTACCTGACCCCAATACCCAGTTAATCTTCCTACGATGAAAGTTTGGTCACATCACTCTCCTGTTCAAAATTTTAGAAGTAAATTTAGGAGCGAGGGCAAATTCAAACGCTCCTCTGGTCTAATAAATCTGTCTCCTCCACAACCAACCCCCACTCTCCCCTAAAGGAATTTTCCATTTCACGTGGACGGTGCGTTTATGCTTGTGCTCATGTCATTCCGCCTTGGAATGACTTTGCTCTCTTCCTACCTTGACCACTTCTTATTCATCCATTAGAACATCACCCAAGCCCCACATCAGTGGAGCCTTCCACAGCAACTCCAATTTACAATTATCTCTCTCTCTGAGATGTTATAGCTCTTGTTAACCTCTCCCCTTCATATTTGCAACTCACAATATTCTGTTAATCACAAATGAACTCACAATATTGTTAACTACTCACATAGGTTTGTCTTGTCGCTTGCAAGAAAAACGCGGGTTCCTGTCAGGACCCATGTGTTTGATCTCTTTTACACCTCTCATAGCTCTTAATTGAAAGGTAAACTTGAGGGAAGAGGACAGAAAGCATTCAACATACAATCCTTAAAAACTTGAATTCACCTGAGACTGGGCAATTCTATTTCATGAGCAACAGTGACATCTAGTGGTTGCAAGGTTGTATACCTTCTTCTAACTTTTTAATATTAATACTTGGAAAAGGCATTCACAGGGTGTTGCAGAATATTTAATTAATCCAAATTATTCCCATAAATTATGCTTGATTTTGAGGGGATTGCAAATGTAAATTTATGTGCTCTGCTTTCCTCCCAATGCCTTCCCCCCACTCCTGTGGTCCAACGGCCCACAAACTCCCAGTTAGGGGGTCTCCACATGTGCCCCTTGTAAACCACAACTTCCCTTTCCCGTAGGACGATCACAGAGGCTTTCATGGTGATTATGCGATTTTTAATTCTCCACTTCCTGTTAAGATGAGGCTTACGTGCATAAATATTTATTTTGGAAATGAAATATGTAATTTAAAATGAAACTTGAGATGATAAATTTGATAGCCAGAGTAGAAGCCAAATGGGAGAAAGGCAGTGTGACAATTGAGGAAAGCTATGGACTTGCATTTCCAAGGGACCTGGGATCAGAAACCATTTCTTCCCATTAAAATCTCATGGTAGTTATAACAGAGTAACATCCCTGGGACTCAATTTCCATACCCCAAGCAATGAAGTTGACATATACCTTGCCAAGCTGCTTTTGGGAGGTTAAATAGAATCATGTAAAATAGAATTCTGGCCCAGAGTAGTTAGTCAGAGAAGGGTAGCTATTATTATTATTTACATTTTACTAAGAATAATTATCCTCAAGTTTACAGGTTGATATTTTAAAGAACTAAAATGCTGGTTTTTAAATTTTTGATTGTCAGTAACTTTGATCCTGATTAAAATTACCTCATCTCTCTTGGATTCAGGTGCTTAAACTGCAAAATAATGAGTTTGGGAAAACTACTTTAAATCTCTGAAAATGAAATAAGAATTCTAATCTACTATAGGCATCAAAATTTGAATACTAATGAAAGGCTTAGAAGAACCGGAGTAGACTGATACCATCTTTATAGAGAGAACTTGAAACATGACCTCTTTATCTCAAGTTATAAATTGTGAAGATAATCTGGATTTGAGGAGGAGAAAAAAGTGCGAGGAATAAATATGTAAACAAACTTATCACAATAAAATATTGTGAAGTACTAATTTTTGTGGTCCTCCTGTGAGTAGAGTATGAATCACAATAACCCTTTTAAAATTAATGTATTGTGATAGAAAACATCATCTGAGTGTTCTAAATTTTATCTGGAACCTAAGGTAAAGCAAGAGCTTGTTTCAAAAGTTGGCCATTTTGCCTATTGTTTTGAGCTTGGCAAACTTTTTTTCCATATAAGGAATATTATATACTATGGTTTATTTCCTAGTCAGTCCCACAGATTAATGCCACAGTTAAGCCTCAACTATATAACCTACAAATAATACTAGCCCAAGTAGCATCAATGGACAGTGGTTTCTTTGGGAATGTCAAAGAACAATAGAATATTTGGGTTAGAAGAAATTTGAGATCTCCATTCTAAGTTCCTGTGGAATATACCAAAATGATACCTTCCCCAGTTTTGACCCTAGCAATGGGAGCCAATAATCCCCTCCCCACCTGGAACCAATGTAACTGTCTTCTTCTCTAATCAGAACTATAGAAATAGCAAGGCATGGGCACACCTGGGTTCTAATTTTCACTCTTACGTCCATTACAGGAGAGATAAATAAGGGGGCAGGGGTTAGTCATACCAAAATCTCAGAGAGTTAAACAAAAGTCTGTTCCAAATCTATATTCTGCGATCCAGGCTGCAGTAGCAACCTCTAACAGGGACATGTTTATCTGGTAGCAGAGGGAAAAATAAATTGACTAGTGAGAGGACTCAAAGTCTAAACTCAGGATTGCAATAAAGACCAAGTAAGACTAGGATTATATGATATGATATGATATGATATGATATGATATGATATGATATGATATTATCTTTATTGTCTTTATTATATTATATTTATTATATCTATTACATTTATTATAATCTATTATATTTTTTACCAGAGATTCTGTCCAGCAGGTCTATTGTTTTTAAGTGCTTTAGGATTGAGAGAGCCTTGGGGAGGCATAATTCTAGTCCTTCATTCTGGCTGTGCTTGAAGCTAACAAAACCCCAAGACTTTGTTTTTCATTTAGCCATTTGCCATTGGATTTCTGTCACTTGTAACCTAAAGAGTACTAATTAATACATTCCCCTCAGGCATAGTCAATTTTGTTATTGTTGTTTAATACATAAAATTCGAAGAATAACCAGGTAGGTAACCTTGTTCAGAGTACAATTGTCAAAATGATTCATGCCATAACACTGCGGCCTTTCATGTTGAAGCCTTTCAGTCACCTAAAAAGTTTTTGTGGTACAGACTTCTAAGACACATAAAATCTGTTGTAGATGTTCCATGAAGGTACAAGGAAAACCACCTTTCTCACCAGATGAAGACATTGGGAAAATGGGGTAAATGTTGTGCTCAAAGAGCCTTCCATCTGAGCAATTCCTGACTCTTCCCTCCTGTCCCTTTTGTCTACATTTTGATCACTTCTACTACATATCTGAGCCCTTTACCCAACATCACTTTGCTCAGAGGTTCTTTAGACAGCATTAGCTCTGTATGGGAAAATATTCTTTTCATCAAAAAACCAATGGAATCTTGGATAACCTCTGCTTCCATGCCTATAATGGCAACTGTTAAGATGTAGCAGTTCACATTTACAAGTTTACAAGAATAACTCATGATATTCAAATGTTAGGTGTTCCAAGGAAGAAAACCAATTATTACTTCTCTTGGGCCATACGCAGAATTTCAGAACAGATGGACCTAGCTGCCAAATGTTGCTATACATTAATTTTTTTTCTTGCTCTAAATTTAAAATGTCATTAAAATACTTAGTTTATTATGAATTTAAAGCTATTATATTTAAAAAATACACTCTCCCTCCTTCAGAAGTGATAGAACATTAACACATGATCTCAGAATAGAGTTAGTATTATATGAGACCACCTACTCACATCTGCTACAGATATATCTCATGTATGAATTCAAGAATTTGTCCTGTTTTATACTAACAGCACAAGAACTTCCCTCATATTGATCATGTTTTTTATTTTCTGTTTTTTTACGATGCTTTGACACCTTGGGCCTTGCTGATTATGAAAGGACTGCCCTTCCCAGGGTTAGCTAATTCCTAGAGACAGCAAACAATCATCCCAGAGTGCTTCTTCAAAACCAACCAATCCAGAGCCCATACCTTCCTCCATCCCCTTTATTGGCTGTCACATGCTGAGCAAGCCACTACCCCTGCCCTATCAATCCAAGACAAGGTACCAAACAGCTAGAGGCAACCCCCACACCCTAAGTCCGCTGAAATTATTCAAACTAGCCAGCTCTAAGCCTGCTTATCCTGCATTGCTATGCCTTTCCTATGGAAACCACAATAAAGGCCCTTGCACACAGTTTCCCCTTCTTCCTCTACCTCCTGGCCAACCCATGGTTCTTCCCTATGTGGCCCTGTGTAGAGTAACGTATTTCATATTTCTAGGGTTCTGAGAGTATAAGCTTCTTTTTTCGTGACTGTCATTTCCGTATCTATATGTCTTACCAGACCTGATTAAAACAAATCCTGAGTACATTTTAAAATTTCAACATCTAATATTTTATTAACTATTTGGTAAAAAATAGCTTTTCTTCGTAAATGTATTAATAATCTAATATTTTTTACAATATTCAAAGGTTTTCTTGAGATACATTTTTTTAGGCAAAACTTCAGGAGAGAGGAAAATTCAATTCCATTGAGACTATTTTGGAATGAATCACTTC